GTTAATTCTTTTACAAAATAATTTTTTTTAGATAAGTGTTTTGAAAATAAAATAATCTTGACTATGCCTAATACTGATGAGTGAAGGACAAGGATTCGAGATAAAAAGAAGAAGGTCAAAACTTCGTGTGGTTTAGAACTCAAATGTATACAAATTCTTAAGCATAGATACAATATATGGACCGCTGCATTTATAAAGTAGAAAAACTGTAAAAGACAAAACTCCTCTGGTCTCTTCTTTGTTTGGTAAGGCATCAAAAAAAAAAAAACTATCATTTCAACGGCTCTAACTGAATTTCCATTCTCCCTCCTCCATTTATACCATCTTGATCATCTTTATCTCTGAAACCTCCTCTTGAGTCTATAAGATCAATCGAATCATCTTCTTCTACATTCCCTAATACCCAATTCCCTCTGCTCAGATCCCTCGCTCTTCTTCTTCTGCGTTCCCTGTACTCTAAATACGCCACTGTAACCGCTCCTAGGAAGACCCATAACCCGAGGGCCCAGTTTAGTCCGTCCACATTTTCTGCCCCATTCCGTTCTCCCAAATGTTTCATTCCTGTGAAAAGCGCGACAACTCCAATTACAACAGCTGACTGACCGACAATTGAGTGAAAATACTCCCAGATTAATCGCCTCGAAGAGATTGGTTCTCCTTGAGCGGGTTTCGCAGGCCTTAGCCAAGCGTTCACAGGCTGCGCGCAAGCCAAAACTATGGCTGTGAAACCGAACTTGACGTGCGTTGAACTGAAGCTGAAACCATTAAGTTCAGCTACTGCAAAGAGGAGGCCGAGGAAGACAATGGCTAGTCCAGAACATTGAAGGTACATATGGATCTTGAACCAGCCATCGCCTTTGATGTGTTTCAGGTATCTAGCAGATAATATACCTCCAGGGAGTAGGATTCCCCAAGCAAGAAACATCATGAATCCGTGAACGCCCAAGACAGGTCTTAAATCTTGTTCGGCTTCTGCGGATCCACGCGTCAGCATTACGCGGACAGGTCTCTGACTTGTAACCGAGTGCATGTTTCTCTCAGTTAACTGATTATCTGTCCATTTAGCACCCATTGCCCATATAACTTTAAGAGGAGTTGTGGGATCGATCATATTCTTACATTCGGGTTTATCTCGATGACTGCAAGACGGTTTCATGGGACGGGTAAACTCCAGCGTGATGATTCCCTCTTCAGATTTGCATCTCACGTATGTCATATTCTCGACTGTGGGATGCACAGCGGAAGCGGATGCTCCATCAATCCAGTAAGTATTTACATGCCCTGTTCCGTTTCTATCAAACCAGCCAACATAAGCATAACTGTTTGCCATTTCGCTACCGAAACCAATTGCAAGATACCCACTTTTCTTCTCCCCACGAGCTGCAATCGATATTGAATCCCCTACTATGGTCCAAAAGAATTTGACTTGCTGATCATCTAGATTGACACTGTTGTTGTACATATCCGAAAGTCCCCCGTCAACAACCTGAACCTTCCAGCCCATTTTCTCTTGAAAAATCGAGTGATAATAGAGTTGGTCAGGTGTATTTCTATTAGGAGCCCAAACCAGCTCCGCCGGACTCGCCATTACTCCATGGGTTTCTTGCCCACCTGCATAGATCGTCTCAGTTCTGTTCCTTAGAGAAGCGTTACCACCAAGAAAATCCGAAGTTATGTAGAAAGAAACGTCGTGTCCTGCTTCTATTTGAAACTTTACAGGAACCCCTCTTTCCACTTTCAACACCGGCGCTTCTTTCTTGTTAATATACAGCACCTTCGAAGGGTTTGGAGGGTTTGGATAATGCACAGATGGTCCAGCCGTGACAACAAGAGGCGTTTTGGCATCAGCAATGATCACATCTTGATCATACTTATTGTCTGCATTCAATGGTCCCAAACATTCATCCACGTGATCCGAAAGATTAAGGGAAAGATGCCCAAAGTTTTCTGATTCCACACCACCGTGATTCTCGGGGAGATAGTAAGGATTAATAACATCTGGTGGTTTAATCACCCCAAGAGCCCAAATAACCGTCAGGTTGTCAGTTGGGTTCACAGGAAAATCATACCTGTTATCACTATCATTCAACGGTCTCCTATACCTAACAAACGAAACTCCATCTATCCTATGCCCGTATACCAGTTTTGTGTTATTCACCGAAGACTCAACCGAATCTGATCCTTCTTCATACACAGAGTCAGGACAAACCCCAGAAGCAAAACCAACCTTCACAGAGCACACACTAGACTTTGTGATATAAAAATCATCAGCAAACGGGAAACCATCCTCTCTAATCCCAGTAACCACAACATCAGCATTCAACATCAGGTTAGACGTAGCATTCGGATTAGCCCAACCAAATGCCATGTAGTTCAGTAAACCAGTTGTAGCCTCTAAACCAATATCGACATAACCTTCCTCTGCATTCAAACTCCACCTTAGCCTATACTTTTCTGAAAGCTTTTTGCAATTATCAAACATGGTAGGAGCTTTAAAGGGCTCACTTTTATTCGATTTCCCAGAAGCAACATCTTTGCTCTCTGAAGGAGATGACTCAGCTTTTGGAGAAGACGAATCTGGTTCCGTCGTATTCCAGAGCAGAACATGCCCAAAATCAGAGGCATTAGGTAAATCCCAAACCGAAACCACACCTACTTTATCCCATGTAACATTATCCAGCAAATGGACAATGAAAGTTTGGTTATTGAATGTTTGATTAAGCTCATGATCAGAGATCACAAAGCCATTATTAGTCATATTCTCGAAATCAGAAGTCATTGCACCCCACCAATGAACATCAGAGCCAGAGAGCATATCGAAACGAGAAACCCTAAACGAACAATCATCAACGACGGTGAAAACCCCACGAAGCTGGTGTTGTAACATCTTGAACTCAGACTCGTACCCGATCAAAGAGCTCGAATTTGAACACTTTTCTCCATTTACAAACAAGAGGAAGAAACCCAACACGAGAGACCCAAGAAAAACGGGTCTTTGATCGCACATGATGGGTAAATTGAACTCAGAAATACAACCAAACCCAGATCTGCAAACACAGCATATATCAACTCCAAGTGGCTTCTGATCTGAAATCAAACCAAGCAGATCACAATCGCGATCAAACAGTAA